CCACGCAGTGTACCGTAGCTGCACTGTAGTACCTGCCGATGAGAAAACCCATGACACAAAGGCTTTCTGAATTCCGTGTGCTTCCCGAGGTTGTCTATTTACTAACACAGCATTCATGCCTGGGAAACATCACTGCAGGCAAAACTTGTGCTTCCTCAGACCCCTGGCCGAACTGGTTTCCGAGGGGCCTCTGATTTCAGGACTGATCCCGAGTCTAGATGGTGTCACAAAATGCTTGTCTTACCTTCCGTCACTGGATAAAGATCAGGGGTTCCCAACCCTGGCACTACTGACATTTTGGGCTGCTGAACTGTTCTTTGTCGTCAACCATCCTGGGCATTGTAGGATGCTTAGCAGCCTCCCTCGTCTCTATCTCATCAGGTGCCAAAGCACCCTCCCTGCCCTTCAAGACACCCCCCCCAACATCTCCAGATATGCAAATATCCCCAGGGGAGGGGGAGCTAAACTGCCCCTGGTGAGAACCACTGATCTCAAAGAAATCTAATAATTCTGTTGCCTCTCTGAAGCCATCATGTGCTTGCTGCTCCAAGTCAAGTCAAGAGAGTGGAGTCTTACCTGTCTTCACCAGGAGTTTACTGGACATCTGACACTCCAGGTTGGACGCCATTTTGCCAGTTGTGACCACAGCCGTCGACACAGCGGGAAGAGCAGCATTTGGGTTTTCTGCCAGCAGAGGCGGCAACCGCGTGGCCCTAACTGGCGCGGTGACGGACGTCAAGGCTGCGGTGATTGTCAGCGAGCGTGTGGTGGACGCCCTGGGCAGGTCTGGGTTGGTGGGGTTTGGGAGGTTCGTGTGCATGGCTTGTGGCTTCCTGGGGAGGTGTGTTGTGGACAACAGGCCGGAGGCGGTGCCCGTGTCCCCTTGCATGGCTGTGTGAGTGCTTGTGGTGTGTGCTGACTTTGCAAACATGTAGGTTGGCGTGAAGGAGGAGGCTGGGTGGCCTGCCCCTGGTGTCGCCTTCGGGCCCGATGCCGTGTTGTTTGTGACATGTCTAGCTAGAGCAGTGGTCAAACTGCTCTTGACTAATCCAGAGGCCACGGCCGAAGGGCTGCTGCCAGTGCCCTTGGCGACCAGGGCTGCAGACAGTGCCGCCGGACTTGATTTCCTCAGGAGCAACGTGGATGCTGCTGCAGCTGCTGTTGGTTCTGCCTTGGACACCGCTGCGAAATCCACTGTAAAGAGAGAAAAAGCAAAGTTTGTCACTGGCCCACAGTGGACACATCACTTGTGGTGATGAATGGATGTAACGGATGCGTTTGCGGGGATGAAAAGTCTCTGTGCTCTGAAATTCAGGCCACATACCTTAGGCTCATTAAGTCAATTAAGCACAATGAGAATGCCAGTTATAGCAAAGCTATGGTCGGTAACAAGGACACTTAAATTCTGAATACTTTCAAAAACACCAAGTCGGCAGAGGGTCAAGGGCATGACTATGTGGGGCTGCTGAGTCTTTCACCAGCGTGGAAGGGTGTGTCTGCTCCTGAGCAAAGCTGGGTATCTGTGTTGAGCTTGAAGATGCTTTGGCCACAGGAGCAGTCATACCTGTTTTCTGGGTACCAGGAAACAAACTTCCTGCATTAGTGGCTGCACCTGTCCATTTCTTGGGGCGCTGAGAAGGCGGAAGCACTGTGGATGGGGTCCTGAGTGAGGCCCTGGTTGACAGAGGAGATTCAGCAGTAGAGTGGGAGATGGGTAGAAGTTGCTGGAAATTTTGGAACTTGTATCCATTCCATCTGAAAACATCTCCTGCAAACCAGCAACTTGTATCCATTCCATCTGAAAACATCTCCTGCAAGCCAGCTGTGGAAGGCAGACTCAGAGAGGGTAGCGAGAGAGGCCATGTTGGATGGACAGGCGGCTGTACATGGGGATGAGACGTGACTTGTTGACTTGTGGATGGATCATCTTCAACTTCAGTTGTTTGGAAGTCTCTGGAATGGTTATTACTTGCAGACAAGACAGCTGTATGGTTTCCAACCATGGTAACATCTGACTGTTGGATGGGCTGGTCGGTGCCTGTATCAAGGACTGAATCCTGAATGCTAAAGCCTTCTGCAGTTGCTACACGCCCAGCAGTGTCTTTGAGATGCTGGGGGTCTATTGTATTAACAGCTGAAGCTAAAACACTGGGGGCAGGAGAGGAAGCTGAGTGAGGTTTCCAACTTGTGGAGTTAATTGTGTGCCCATTTATAGCATAATTTGTTTGCTGCAGCAAGCCAGATATCGTTGGTTCTGTGGAAAGGGATCCAGTTTCTGCGGAAAGGGAACTCCGGAACACATCTGTGACCGCTGGCTTTTTCACGCTTCCCATTGTTGAGAAATCATAGACCTCAGTGGAGGAGGGCAGTGCCGTCACCTGTTTGGAAGTTGAAACTGGCAGCTCCGAATGGCCCGTCGCAGCTGCGTCCGTCTCTGGCTTGCTGCTGGAAAAGCCGGGAGATGGGGAAACAGTCTGGGCAACTTGTGTGGAAGGGAGAGAACGGGGAGGTAATTCTGAAGCCAGGTTTGTTCTTGGCGTTGTACGGACAGTGGATGAAATAGGATCAGTGCTGAAAGCAGAGGTGAATCCGTTTAGAGTATGAAGACTCGGAATCTCTTTACTTTGGAAGGTTTGGAGAGCAACTGTCAAATTTGCCCTTTCGTTTTTCCTTAGGACAGCTGCCCCGCCACCTTCTTTCTGCAGCAGGAACGTCCAAGTGGCGGCAAGGAGATTAGGAAATGTGTTTGAGAGGAGGAAGTCGGTAGCGGCAGTAGGAGGGGGTCCATGGTGACCCTCTCCCTGAGGAGTTGGCATTCGGGGCGGGGTGGATGGAGAGGCATGGTTCCCCACCGGCTGCAGGACAGCGGGAGAGTCTGCCACTGCGCCCTTCGAGGGTGATGCAGGAACCGCCCCAGAAAGGAGGGCTTGTCCTCGGCCGGTTGTGGTGGGAGGCAGAGGAGAAGGCACCAAAGAGGAAGATGTGTGTTCTGCTGAAAGGACGGGCCCTTCAGAATTCTCTGGAGCTGCTGACAGGTGCAGCGGGTTATCGGAGTCCTTTGCAGTGGCGGGGGCTAGTGTCCTGTTGGTCATTTCCACCGCCCCTGACTCAGCGGTCTGGGAAAGTGAGGGCACAGCCCCACTCTTCAGAGCTGGCAGAGACGCCCCCTTGTGCACCGTTTCGGCCACCTCCGCTGTGACTGGCTGGGTGGACGCAGGCCTTGATGCCGCTTCCAAGCTTGACCAGGAGGGAGTTCCACGGGGCAGGTGAAGACTTCCAAGTGCTGGGGGAGGGGGAGACCGATGGGCCAGGTCTGGCCCGGACCTCAGAAACTCTGGTGTGGGGGAGCCTGCTGTGCGAGGATCCTCCGTGGGGGACAGCTCCGAATACTGCTTTGTTGAAGATCCAGAGAAACCTAGACGGGGGATGCTTATTAAATCCTGGGCATTTGGGGATGGAGTGTGGTTCCTTTCGGCAGGAAGTGGGTTTCGGGGTTTAGCCACGCTCTGACTTGGAGAGCAGTCAGTTGGAGCTGTTTGGGGGACTAAAGGCGCTGTGGTGGGTCGCCCGGCTGGCTTAGAAAAGATGATGGAATGAGGAGAGTCAGGAGCCAATGAAGGGGAGGGAGATGGAGGGAGAAGCGGAAGGATGTCTGACCTCAGAGAATGTCGTTCTGAGATGGAAGGAGCCCCTACCCATACTGGCTGAGACGGGAGGACTGGGCTCAAGGACGTCCCCGAGGGGACAGTGGGCAAGGTGGGGAGCATGCTAGTGTGAGGCAAACCTGACACACCGGCTGCTTCTCTTCCCCCTGGCGGTCTTGGCTGGACCGGCGACTCGGTGGAATCCTTGGAAGGCTCGAGGGAGGCGCTATATCCGCTCCCTTGCTGAGGGGAAGCGGAGAGGTCCCCGTGAGCCCGAGGCTTGCGGTGTGTCTTGGGAGGAGGTGTTCGGGTGAACGGCAGCACGCTGGTGTTGTCAGGGGTCGGGCCCAGCCCATCCTTGATTCTATCCACTGCGGAGGAAGACTGGACTTCGGAGAAAGGCCATGTTGGTGAAGTCGGGGACAATTTCCCGGGAGGAAATGACTCCGGGTTTGGGGTGACAGTTGTCTGTAGGTTGTCTGTTCCTGTGAAACAAAACACCAAGCGGTCAGACATCACCCAGTAAGTGCCTGTGGTGGTAGGTCCTGGAGAGACGGCGTGGGCAGGAAGGCGCTGCTCAGACCTCTTCCACCCCTGCACTGAGGACGCATTAAACACTCTCAATGCATCAGTAATTAGAAATATGCAAATGCTGCAGCTGACCTACAGGGCAGGAATGGAGACAAACTGTCCCTGTGAAGTGATGTTTAAGCAAAGATGTGGGACACACTTGTGTATTTTAAATCTTTTTTTTTCTATACCACCTATGACAGTTGGACTGGGAAACTCACAATCTAGAAAGTCAAAGACAAGTGTGGCTCCCTGCCATGGCCACTGACACCAAAACAAACCTCATCCGAAATCCAAACTGCCCAACGAAAGGACCACGTATCCAAATGCAGGTCTTTGCTTAGGGCCCTGTCGCATCTCGAGCAGAATAACTGGGGTTGCCTGTGTTTGGAGAGATGGCAGCAAGGAGACATGTGGTCTTATTGAATATGAAAGGATTCCTGATGCTATCGTTCATGCCATGTCAAAAGCACAGGGGATTTCTTTCAGGTTAGGCTACTTCTGCAAGAAAAACTCTTCCCATCCAACCTAGGACCAGAGACACCCCCTCATCAGCTGGGGTCCCTACGAGCAGACTCACTCTCCCTGATGGCCTGATGAATTGAGAGGCCATGTTGAGAAAGCCCACGCAACACAAACTGTGGTGGCCGCTGGAGCTGCAGAAGTCTCTGGGAACTATGAGTGGCCTCTCCTGGCAGAAGGTGGCTCCAGCTAACAGCCGACAAGAAGCCAGGGCCTCCCAGTGCTGCCTCGGTTGCCTCCTGGGTTCCTCAAAACTACTCCTGTAACCCAGACAATGGCCGTCCTTTCCCACTCAGTGCTGTTCCTTTGGCTGCTGGAGACCCGAGGAGAAGTCAGCCTAGGTTTCCAACCACGGTCATGAGACCCTCCCTCTGTCCCACTCACTGCCCACCTGCAGGTTTTCTTACTTGTAGCCCTTACAGAAAAGCAAACCCAACCACCAACAGCTCTTAGATGTAGAAAACTAAGCCAACCACCTAATAAACATTAATAAATACCCCAAACCCCTCCTCCTCGTCTGCCAGAGGAAGACATCTGCAGCTTTCTGTCAGGTCCCAGAGTCAGACTGCCTGGATTCAAATCCCACTCCTCCGTCTGCTAGCTGTGTGGCCTTGGACAAGTCACTTCACCTCTCTGTGCCTCATTTCCTCATTAGTAACATGGGGGCAATGACAGTACCTACCTCATGAAATTCTCTTAAGGACTGAAGTGAAGTGATACATTTAAAGTCCTTAGGACAGTGCTTAGTGCTCCCAAAATGCTATTGGTGGTGTTGCTACTGGTTATCTGTTCAGCCCAAGGTAGGCATGGACGCACTCAGAAGCTTCCTCAGAGAAGCCGATGCCAGTTAGAACTCATTGTCACGATCCCCCACATCTGTGGGGGCACTTAGAGTCTGCAGAATATTGTCACACCCTGATCCCACCTCGAGGAAGAGGAAAGGTTATGACCCCCATTTTACAGTTGAGGAAACCAGGGCTCGGGGGGGAGCAAGTGCTAACTTGGCCCAGGTCACACAGAGAGTTATTCTATAGTCCAGTATGTCTCACTTCTTTCGAGGTCAGGCTCAAGTCTTCCCAGCGCTGTGCGTGGGAAGGAGGTCTTCCTCCACCTTCCGGTCTGGGCTGGGCTCCGTCCTCCCAGAGGGACCTCCCTCCCCCCCAGACCGGAGCCCACGCAGGAGCTCCCTCTTCCTCCTGAGTTGGATGGTGTGTCCCTCTTTGGCGCCGCTTGGGCAAACACCACTGAGCACAGCTCCACATCACAGAGACCCGTCAGGCTCTGACTCCCCGAAGGTCAGAAGAGATGGAAGAAGCGCCATGGCTGTGCTGAGGCATCCATCCCACACCCCGCAGTTCTGAAGCCTGGCGCCGGGGACATTCTTGCCTAAGATGATTTCTCTTGGGGCTTTTTAAAAACAAAATGCACCGGTTAATAGAATCAAATTGCCATTCCTTGAAGCGCTGCCAGCAAATAAGAGGATTCTGTTTAATGCTTTGACATTCAACGTTTTTGTGTTCACAGAGGTTTTCTTTTTGTAAGAAGTTTACGGCTTTCGAATCCTTTGTGAAACAGGCTTAGAGATCAACTTGACTTTCCCCCCATTACATACAATGTCACTTTCATTTTTTAAAACCTCGGTTTACATGATCATGACAGAAAACTTAGCAAAGACGGAAAAGTAGAAGGGAGAGAAAAAGAATCCCAGTCCTCCCTCAGCGCTCTCCACATGCAGGTCCCACCACATGGAGAAAACCAGGTTCACACTGAGGTGAACTGCACATCCGGGCTTCATCCTTGGAAAAGCTTTGCAGACCTGTACCCACACTGCATTCCCAACTCTGCACCTGCTCTTTCTCTTTGAACAGCATATTACAGCATATTTCCATACTGGATAAGGATGCATGTTATTTCCGCTAAGATGTGGTATGTATTTTTGTTTGTTTAAACATCCCCCAACTGTCAAGGTGCAGTTGTTTATAAAAGTTCAGTATCTATAATAATAAAAGCATAATATGCTAATTAGACTGGACAGCTGAATGACTTTCCAGACAAAGCCAGGGCTGCAAGGGCCAAGGGCAGCCGCCGCAGCTGCGAGGGCCGAGCCCCTTGCATGAATTTCGTGCATCGGGCCTCTAGTTATAAATAATGTCCTCATCCCCTTCCAATGTTGTCATCACAAACCCTCTGTGGCAGGTGGGACAGACACAATGACTTCCTCTTAGGGTCTAGGACCCCCCCCCACACACACACACATAAGTTCACGCGCATCAGAAGTAAACTAATGGGATTTGGGGTTCTCTCTCCTCCCCCTATGCCCTTCTGATCTTTCTGATGGGGTCACTTGTAAGTTTAAAAACTTCATCCCACAAGATGGCATAAACTCAACCTAAAAAATAAAAACCACCCACAACTGACCACCAATAACTGACCTTCATAACTAGGACAATCCTATTAGCAAACCTTTCCAAATTCTCATATTAATTTTTACCATTTCATTCTAATGGCCTTAAGGGAAGCTGAGGCCATTAAAACCCATTAGGCAAGAAAGACGGGAGATGTAGGAAAGTCTGTACCTAGAGAAAAGCAGTCACAGGGCAAAATAACAGCGTATTACCAGGCTTCACACCATGTTGAAAGGTTTAGACATAAACCACTTCTCAGTAATAGTCCCAGAATTAAGTTATCATTCTTCCCACAATCTTTATTTATAGGGTACTTTCCCTTTCTGCTTAGTGTTATAGCCAATTATCTCCCTTATTGGGACAATCACTTAACATGAATCCCACAAATACGTATTGAATGCTTTATCCGATGGTCACCCCTTTACAAAGGTTAACAAACTGTAATTCTCACAGAAAAGGTGGTTGATGCCACTGTTTAGGCAGTGATGGCGAACCTATGACTCATTTTTTTGGTTGATTTTTCTTTGTTAAATGGCATTTAAATATATAAAATAAATATCAAAAATATAAATCTTTGTTTTACTATGGTTGCAAATATCAAAAAATTTCTATATGTGGCACGGCACCAGAGTTAAGTTAGGGTTTTTCAAAATGCTGACACGCCGAGCTCAAAAGGTTCGCCATCACTGGTTTCGTGTGTGGGATCTGGGGTCAGAGCTGATGGGTTCATAGCCTGGCTGCCTTGCTCCAGCTCTGTGAACTGAGGCAAGTTATGCACCTGTCAGTTCCTGCTTCCCCTTTTCTAAGGTGAGATAGCAATCATCGCTATCTCACAGGCAATTATTTGAGGCTTAAAGGCATTGATCCAGGTAGAGTCTTTGGAACAAACACACCCTAGTAGGCGGTCAGCAGTCAGTAGATGTTATCATATTACCATCAAGGAGCACAGAATCTAATTAAGAGGTGTTGGAATCATATCTTTGTTCTAAATTATGACAAAAAGAAATTCTTAGACTCCCACTTTTGTCGTGTATAGTATTCTATCTTCTTGGGAACAGTTCACATTTCTTACGATGAATCCCTTTTCTCCAACTGTAATTCTCCACCGTACCTGGGTAATCCCGCTGGCTTTCTTAGCTCTAGTAAGACTCCTGCATGAGATCTCTCCCCTGAAGTCTGCCTAGTTCCACAAGCAAGCACATGGTTTTGGAGATAACTATTCAGTATAGTGGCAAAGTGTTCGCTTTCCCATTAAGGTTCCTTACAAATCTAACTACAACTCTAGCTGAGGTGCTGAGAGGAGAAAGTAGAGAGAGAACAAGAGCTTCTCATATATATCCTCATATGTGTATATGAGAATACTTTTTTTATTGCTTAAAATATTACAAAGAATAGTACATTTATCTCCTTTTTTTCCCCCTTGACCTTCTCCCAGCCTCCCCTACTCCCCAGTGTCTTGTGTCCATTGGTTATGCTTATATGCATGCATACAAGTCCTTTGGTTGATCTCTTACCCCCGCCCCCAACCCTCCCCAGCCTTCCTGCTGTAGTTTGACAGTCTGTTTAATGCTGTTCTGCCTCTGTATCTATTTTTGTTCATCAGATGAGAATACTTTTGATAATTAATCCAGAAATGAAAAAACTACACAAATTAAAATATAAAGGAGGAGCCACTATTGAAAAAGGCACCGGGACTGGTAATATTCAACTGAGTTCTATCTAACTTTTAATTTTTTATTTTTATTTTTTTATATATTTTATTGATTTTTTACAGAGAGGAAGGGAGAGAGATAGAGAGTTAGAAACATCAATGAGAGAGAAACATCGATCAGCTGCCTCCTGCACATCTACTGGGGATATGCCCGCAACCAAGGTACATGCCCTTGACGGAATCGAACCTGGGACCCTTTAGTCCGCAGGCCGACACTCTATCCACTGAGCCAAACCGGTTTCGGCTTTTATTTATTTTTTATTTTTATTTTTATCTA